GGCTTAATGTTTTTTGAGCCAGGGCGAAAAATCAAAACAAAATTAAAGCGATTAAAGAAAAGCGACCAACGGGCCTGACGGGGGGTCAGACGCTTGGCGTTCCTCAGATAAATTTAATTTTTATGGTCGTCAAGATCAAAAAAGGTGTCTCAGTGCCTTCTAACCAGTGCCGCCATTCTTCTAATGCGAGCTTGACTGCCAACAGCTTGGGGTTGCCCACGTCGTAGTTGCGTTCTGCTTGGGAGAGACGCCGAGAGAAGAAGGCGCAGGGATGGACCTTATTGTCATGAGGAGATTGCTGGGAAAGGACCGCTCCTACCCCAGTGTCAGAGGCATCCACCTCCAAGATGAACTGGTGCATAGGGTCCGGATGGCAAAGGATGGGAGCAGAGGAAAAGAGAGACTTGAGTCTCGTGAAGGTGGTCTCTGCCTCTGGGGTCCAATAAAAGGCACGGGCAGTAGAGGTGAGCTGAGACAGGGGGGCGGCGACACGGCTGTAATTTTTAATATATCGCAGATAAAAATTTGCAAAGCCCAGGAAGCATTGTAACTGCTTCCTGGACTCGGGGGTTGGCCAGTCGACAACCGCCCTGGTCTTCTCTGGATCGGTTCGGCAACGACCTCCCTCAAAGATGAAACCAAGGAATGAGAAAGTGGAGGTGTTAAACTCACACTTCTCTGCTTTGACAAATAACTGGTTCTCCAGCAGCCGCTGGAGGACTGTGCGAACGTGGGCCGTGTGTTGAGTGGGGTCGCGGGAATAAATAAGGATGTCGTCAAGGTATACGAACACAAAATTACCAATGAAATCGCGCAAAACATAATTAACAAGCGCCTGAAAAACAGCGGGGGCATTGGTCAACCCAAAAGGCATAACTAAGTACTCGAAATGGCCCAAGGGGGTGCGAAAAGCCGTCTTCCACTCGTCGCCCTCCTTAATACGGACGAGGTGGTACGCGTTTCGCAAATCGAGTTTGGTAAAACAAGAGGCCGACTGTAATTGTTCTTGTAAAGAATCAATGAGAGGAAGAGGATATTTGTTTTTAATAGTTATATTGTTCAAACCACGATAGTCAATACATGGCTGGAGTGATTTATCTTTCTTGGAAACAAAGAAAAAGCCAGCTCCCACAGAGGAGGTTGAAGGTCTAATAATGCCAGAGGCAAGAGACTCATTAATATAATTGGACATTGATTCCCTTTCAGGACCAGAAAGGTTGTAAAGTCTACTTGACGGCAAGGGGGCGCCAGGTAACAAGTCAATCGAGCAGTCATAGGGACGGTGAGGAGGAAGAGACAAGGCGCGCTGCTTACTGAAAACAGCCGCCAGGTCGCGGTATTCAGCAGGAACCGAGGTGAGGTCGATCTCCTCTAGAGGAGGCGCGTCCCGAGGGAACTCTTTAATGGCGGAGCGAAGACAGTTGCTGAGGCACTTGTCGCCCCATTTATCAACGCAGCCGCACTCCCAGTTAATTACTGGATTGTGATTTCGAAGCCAGGGGAAACCTAAAATTACTTGGGGGGTTCGAGAATTAAATATAAAGAAATCAGTCATCTCGTGATGATTTCCAGAAATAATAACATGCAACTCGGTAGTCTTTAATTTGATACGGGTCAGAGTGTCTCCGGTTAAGCCAGAGACAGAAATCGAAGGGATCTCACGAGTAGGTAATGAATATTCTTTAACTAAGTCAGCGCTGATCAAGTTCTGTTCAGAACCTGAATCGATGAGAGCTGAACACGAAAAGCGGCGATTATGTGTCTGAATGACCATGGGAAGCAATAGTTTGAATGGGGAGGTTAACGCAGACGTTCCCACCAGTAACTCCCGCTTTACTGGTGGAAGTTCTCGTTTCCCCGAAACGGACAGTGGGGCAGAAAATGACCGGGATTACCACAATAAATGCAAAGACGGGCAGATACACGCCGCTGTCTCTCTGCAGGAGTCAGCCGTGCGCGCCCCACCTGCATAGGCTCGGGGGAGCGATCCCGTGAGGGAAAAGAAGATGATTGGCTGTGACCAGGAAGCAAGGAAGACTGGGAGTTGTAGTTCACAGGGGATTGTTTTGGTGAAACAGACTCATAGCGAGGGGTTGTAAACATGGAAGTGGGAGGATTATGGGAAACGTAGTGCTGAGGTGCAGGCTTGGGCCACCTGGAGGAGTCGAAAACCCGGAAGTCGAGGGTCGATGGGAATTGTAGTTTGCCTCTCTCCTTCTCTCCCGGAAACGGTCATCGATTGAGATGGCAAGGTCTATCAGTTTGTCGAAAGTCTCGGGTTCATCTCGCGTGGCCAGCAGATCTTTGAGAAAATCAGACAGAGCGTTAAGGAAAATACCTTGGAGGGCGGGCTCGTCCCATCCTGTTTGGGCAGCAAAGATCCGAAACTCCAGAGCGAACTCCGAGGCATTACGACGGCCCTGTGTAAATTCAACAACCGCTTGGTGGCATTTGATGTCTGCAGGGGACGGTCAAAAATCCTGCAAAACTCTCGAAGAAAATGTTCATTGGAAGCAGGGGGGTTATCATAACTCAAGAGGAACGAGTGAGCCCACCGGAGAGCGTTACCTTTGAGTTGGCTTACAAAGAAGGTGATTTTGGCCGTGTCCGACGAGAACTGGGAGGGAGCCCCCTCGAAGGCGAGTCGGCACTGGAGCAAGAAGCCGCCACATTGGTCAGGGTCTCCGGTGAAGAACTCAGATGGCTTAACTAAGATTTGTTGGACAGGAGGAGTGGGACCAAGAGCCACGGGGGCTGGCGGAACGACTGGAGCTGAGGAGGCAGAAGCTTGCAGCTGACGTTTAATGGAATAAATCATACCTCTGAGCTCCTGAAGGTTGGATTGGACCGTTGTTTGGTGAGTCAGCACCTGATGAATTACTTTGTCCATCCTGTCGATCCGCTCCTCCGCGGAACCGGGGGGTGTCTGCTCGCTCTTGGTCTCATTCTGGGTCTGTTGTGGCTAGAGCATTTCTGTTACGATTGCGCGGGGAACCCAGATGTTAAGAGACCCAGAACGAGGCAGACACAGGGGAAATACAAAAGAACAGTGTTTATTATTTACAGTGCAAATTTAAAGTCCACACGCTGCTTCTCAGTGGCTCCTGGAAAGAGGGATGAGAGGTTATTGTTTGTCCAACGGGGAAGACCAGAGTGGTAGATTTAAAGAGCGTCTTGTCCTTACAGTCCAACCCGAAGGAGAATGAGCTGGTCCTTCAGTCCAAGGAGTGAGCAGCAGAAGGGAATCCAACAGGGGTCCAAAAGGAAACAAGGAAGGCTGGCAACTGGAGGCAAAGAGACACGAGGGACACCTGACAGGCCGAGGGATCCAGGTCAAGCCACGAGGAGAATCCAAAACACGAAGGAACCAGGAAACTGGAAAAAAGAGCAGAAGGTGAACAAATTCTTTTCACCTAAACATTTCTACCTCAACAGTACTATACCATAAGAGGTGATATGCTCCAGCGTTGAATCACACCGGGCTGCAGCCTTAAGTAGATGGAGAGGCTCATCAGGCTGATGGCCGCCAGGTGTTGGTAATCAGCGGCCATCAGCAAGGCAGGCTGCAGGCGGTGGGACCCTTACATAAATCTCCTAAAGTGAATGAGAATCATTTAAAATAATAAATAAGATACATCCTGTAGCCATGTTTCTTGAAATAAGATTTAAATTTAATGTTGATTTGTGTGTCTTTAGTAAATCAGAAGATGAATCCCTCGAGTATTTTTTTTTCATGTCACTACAAAGTGTTTGGTCAAACATCAGAAACTGGATTAATCTCAAACTTAACATTCCTTCTTTTGACGCTGATAACATTTTACTTTATGTGGATAACTGAAGCTCAGCTTTCTCTGATGCCATAAATATAGTCATACTTATAACAAAGTACCACATTCACTGTAGTAAGAGGAGAGATAATAAGCCCTCCTTCCTGTTTGATGAACAATTTTAAGTCATACTATTCTTCATTAAGTAGATTAAAAATCTGCTAAACTGCTAAAATCATCTCACAACAGATACAAACTTATTGTTTTAATTAAAACAATGTTTCTCAAGAAAAAAAACTGATTAGTTTGTCAGCAGGTAAGGGGCGTTTACTTTTGGGACAAATTGAGGTCGTCGATTGGTCAGTTACTGACACGCCTTCTGAGTTGATTGACGGGTCGCACCATTGAGGATCCTATTAAAAAAAAAAAAACCAGAGCTGCAGCAGCTGGGAGGAGGTGGGGTGGTCCAAATGCAGTGGAAGCGCAGCAGTTTCTGTGCAGCGCAGGGCTCCAAGTAAAACAGGAGATAACCAGATATGTTGATTGTGCCCTCACTGCCCTGGGCCCCTTAGAGATCATGAGCCCCTTAGAGATCATGGGCCCCTGGGCAGTTGTCCAGTTGCCCATATGGTTAATCCGGCCTTGCATGTGTGGCAGGAAAAGTAAAATATTTTGTTCTGTGAGAATAAATGTTGCTGTGTTTGGATAAGGAGTCTAAATTCTTGAATAGAAGTAGACATGCAGTGAATAATGTCCCAGACAGAGGAATACTGATGGATCAGCACCAACTGACCCCAAAGGAAGTGACCGTATTGTTGGCCCAACTATTAAAGAGCGTTGCATTTACCATACTAGTAAAATGATTTATCCATCCATTATTTTTTTTACCTGCTTCTTCCTGTTCGGGTCACAGTGGTCACTGGTGTCCATGTCCAGAGGTGGTGGACACCCTGGACAAGTCTCCAGTCCATCACAAGGACACATGGTAAATGGTAAATGGTAAATGGACTGTACTTATACAACTCCTTTCTATCTGATCAAGACACTCAAAGCTCTTTACAACAATCTGTTCCTCATTGACCCATTCATACAACGCTCTACTAGATCTCTACAAAGACAATCTGAATACGTATATAAGCTAATTGAACAAATCATCTCTATTTAGGATGTGAGGACAGATAATTGTTTTAGGAAAGCTTGAGAACAGAACAGAATGGAGCAAACGAGAAAGAGATGTCCTTGGTAAGACAAAAAAGAACAATCCAAACTTTGAGCCTGTGTCCGTGTCTGACCGACATCAAAACATGGCAGACAGAAGGTACTGCAGTGATGCTTTAAAAATGTTACTATAGATGGAGAGCCATTTTTCTGAGTGATGGCAGGATGGAATGGGAGCAGAATTGACAGAGCCTCTTCCCAATCCGACGTGGTAAAGAAGGAGCTGAGTCAGAAGACGACTTGAATGATTTACTGGTCTGTCAATGTTCCATCTCTTAGCTGTGCTCATGAGATATGGAATAAGAAGGATTTTAGATTCAAACTGCTGAAATTAGCACATTCTGTAGTGACTGGGCTAATCTTTGGAGGCAAGGTGAGGAGCTCTGTCACCCGAGGGGATCTTTGAGTGGAGCTGCTGCACCTCTTCATTAAAAGGAGTCAGGTGGTGGGTGAGGCCTCTGTTTAGGATGACTTTCCACTTGGAAAACCCACGTCAGTCCCAAAATCTGTAGGAGGGATTATAGTAGAAGTGGGAGCTGAGAGTTGAGTTTTAGCAGGCAAACATCAGGAGTGACACCTGACTTTTGTATTTGTGGATCCATTTTTTTTTCTGCTGGAAGCTGTCCCAGATAATATTGTTAGTGCTTTTAGTATTTTTGCAATTTCACTTTTTGGTTGATGTACAAGGGAACTTTTGCTAGATAACCTAAAAAAATGTGTTACAGGAGTACCTGAGTCTATATCCTCTGGAGGAAATGTCTCTGGCCCCTGACCCAGATGTCCCCAAGCTCCTTCCTCCTGTGGCCTACAACCCCTGGGCAGATGTGAGGAAAAGAGATGATGTCCAAAAACTCAACATTAGCTTTCCTTATGGACCGGTTCCGAAAGACTTTCAGGTGTGGCCTGTTCCTCTGGTATTGTTTTAGTTCTGTTTTTAAAATAAATATTTCAGCAGTGACCCTCTGATGTTGTGTGTCCCAGCTGCGTATTCGTCAGCACTACTATGCTGCTGTGTCATATATGGATGCTCAGGTTGGGAGACTTCTCAGTGCCCTTGATGAGCTCGGGATGACCAACAGCACTATGGTGGTCTTCACCTCTGATCATGGTTAGTATGGTAAATATCCACCAGGGCTGACTGAAAATCAAGAAAAGGTGTGCTGCCTTGCTTTTGACCAGTAGAGGACAGTGTTGCAGTAGATTTAGTCATCTCATCCTTCTATAAATGTTCTGTGCTCTAAAATCTCAGCTCTGTGTCCACCACTTCCTTTTTTAAAACCGAGTTTTATTTCTCTTTCATTAAAAAATGCTAATCATATTTTTACATAAGAATTTGATTGTAAAGTTTTATGAAATTCATAATCCTTCAGCGAAGGAGATAATAAAAAAGTTAGTAAAATAAACAGCTTCAAATATCAACAAAGGGCTCAATAATCCAGGTATACAATCCCAACAAATTTCAGTCAGGTCATTTGGACAGTTTCTTTTTTTGTGCTGAAACATTTCACCTTCCATCCAGAAGGCTTCATCAGTCAAGGAAACGCACAACAGAACTCATTCTTCCCCCAACAGCTTACTCCAAAGTGGAACAAACTCTGTCCATATGACCTGACTGAAAATTGTTGGAGCTTCAAATATAATTCATGCTTTTAAAGCAGCATTTGTGTGATTTATGTTTTGCTTTTTATTTTTATTTTTACCTGCCTCAGTGTTTTTGAACTAACATCACATCCTTGTTTTTTTCTGTATTGATTCAGGTTGGTCGTTAGGAGAGCATGGCGAATGGGCCAAGTACTCTAATTTTGACGTGACAACACGTGTCCCTCTCATCATGTTTGTTCCTGGTGTCACTGCAGTCTATAACTGGTTGGGAGAATCAACTTTTCCCTTTATTAATGTTCTCAACCAATCCGAGTACAGCTTTGAGAGTAAGCCAACAAATAAACAATAATACTGGGAGCATAAAATGCACAGTTTGTATGTGAGGCTGTAAAAGCAGAATTATTATTTTTTTAAAGCAGAGTAATTTTGGGGGGAGTTTTAAGTGTTCTCATGAACCTTGTTAAAACATTTGCCAAGGTGTTCATCTGACATTAATGAAGCCTATGAAATAGAAGGAGAGCTTGAAAGAAAAGTATTTAGACAGGATTTCACTTTGATATATTGTCTTAGGATAGTTTTTGCTTCAAATGAACATGGTTCAATGGTGATGAAATTCAAGTACATTAAATTAAACCATTTTGGAAAAATCTCAGCAAACTCTGACCTGAAGGATTAGATGAAAACTTTTAATTGTATGACCATTTTTGCTCTCAGATGCCAAAGTTGTAAGGAACATAGTGGAGCTAGTGGATGTGTTTCCTACAGTCTCCTCCATGGCCGACCTCAGAGCACCTGAACGCTGTCCTGATGTTTCTTTCCAGGTATGAAGTGAAGAAAACATTTGTTCTCCTTTCGGCTGCTCTCTTTATGTGTCACGACAGTAGATGATGCCTGCAGCTTATCCGGCATGCTTCTCTGTCACAACAACCCTCTACAAATCCTCCTCCATCATGAAAGTCCTCCATTGTTTTCTTCTTTCTCTCCTCCCTAGATGTTTCATATTTAAAACACTTTTTTCAATTTGTCAACCACCCATTCATACATATGGATTTTCTCACTTTTACTGACATTTCATTGCACTTCTTGCTATCTAGAGCATATCACCACCTCTCTGGACTCTCTTCCACCTGCTCCCTTTTCTCACTACAGATCACAATATCATCTGCAAACATTGTAGTCTAGGCATACTTGTGCTTGACCTCATTTCTCAATCTTATCATCTTTGAAACCTTTGTCCTCACAAGCCCCAGCAGGTCAAAGCAGCACTCATTCTGAGCCTGGTTCTGCTTGAGGTTTATCCTGTTAAAAAAATAGTTTTTCCTTTCCACTGTTGCCATTGTGCTTACTCAGGATGGGAGATTATGATGAAGTGAAGATTCAATGCAATCTGCTGGCTTCCTTAGAAAGATAACTTTTACTAATTGGCTTTTTTTTTAATCATCTGGTATCATTATTCAAGAACGTGCAGTGACCCTTAACAGATTTGTTTACGTGTAGTGAACCTGATCTGACCCTGATCTGACCCTGATGACCCCAAATCTATCAGATGGACAGGGACTGTTATTTCATTGATCTGAATACAGTCTGAGCCATCTGATGACTTTCTTTCTTGAATTAATCAAGCAGAAAAGACAATTCTCTATGATCATCACTGTTTACAAATGTTTGATAATCAAATTGTGTTAGTTCACTCAATGTTACAGGTTGAAAAGAACTACTCATTTTTATTTTACATAAACAGTAAGTAATGATTTTTATTCCTCATTCAAAGAAGAAATCAGGTTAATATGCATTTCTTGATTTTCTGTCTGAAATGAGCCAAGCAACGTAAGTATGTGAAAGTTGAAGCTTCGGTCAACTAAATGTTTACTGAAAAAGAAATGTCATGTTTAATCTTTACAGAAGATACAGAAGAGTTTGACTCCACGAAGTCTGCTTTTCTGCAATAATCTCTCTGTCAGTTGTTAAACAAACTCATTCTCTGACCTCGACTTTTGATAACACCTTACGTCAAAAACCACACCTCTTTCTGGTCCATCCACGAATCAGAAAGCTCTAAATAGACCCGGAAGTCAACTCATTTAAAATGTGGCAACTTCCCGGTTCTGTTAGAGACTAGAGAGTCTAGAGTCTAGAGTCAAGAGTCTGGAGAGTCTGGGAAAGAATTCCAGAGAGTTCCAGAGGCTGAGGAGATGAAGAACTAGAGAGTTGCTGGAGTTGAAAGATTCTGTTAGAGTCTGAGAAGTTCTGAAGAATGAAAGGAGTTCAGAGTTCTTGGGTGCAAACGCGTTCAGGATGATCCAGAGACGTTTTGGGATTATAATTTCTGTTTGAACAAACCACACACGACTATCTAAGGATTTCAGCTGCTCTCAACGGAGACGCTGAAAAAGTCTGGAGGATTCTCTATCGAGCTGATCTATCATCAACCAGGTAACGGTCTCCTCTTCAACTAAAGTGTACCGGAGGCAAGCTGAGATCTGATGAAGCGTGCACGTTCTGGACAAACAGATTAATTCCCTCACATATCTCTCTGTAAGATAACTCCATTTCATCTTAAAACTCTCCTCTTTCTCATAAAATCAGTACAGATATTTTAGAAATATCTGAAGCAAAGTCCTCGTTCACCGCCGAGTGATCGATGTCCCTTTTCTGTGAAACTTGTCTGTTATTATTTTCATATTTTGCCAAATTAATGTAAATGTTTGATGTTAAACTTTGATTCTGAAAATAAATGACCGCATTCATTTTGATGGGTCAAAGATAAATAACGTCTCTCGTTACATTTCTGTTAAATTCAATGCACGACATTACACAGTCAGAAAGATGAGGAACTCGTGAATAT